CCCGGATGCACTTCACATCCCGACTCCGCACTCTTACACGGAGGCGATAGAGGGTCCCTACTCCTCTCAGTGGCAGGCAGATATGGACACAGAGATGGCTTTGTGGAAGTCCACAGGCACCTACGTTGACGAGGTTTCCCCACCTGGGGCGAACATCGTCAGTGGCATGTGGATTTTCAGGGTGAAGCGGCCCCCGGGTTCTCCGCCTGTCTTCAAGGCGCGCTACGTGGCTTGTGGCTTCAGTCAGCGGCACGGAGTTCACTACTTTCAGACCTTCTCTCCCACCGTGAAGATGACCACTCTTCGGGTACCGCTGCACGTAGCTGGTCACCGTGACTACGAGCTGCACTCTCTTGACTTCAGCACTGCTTTCTTGCAGGGCAGCCTGCACGAGGAGATTTGGCTGCACCGCCCACCTGGCTTCACTGGTTCTTTTCCTCCTGGCACCCAGTGGAGCCTCCGGCGGCCAGTCTACGGTCTCCGCCAGGCACCGCGTGAGTGGCACGACACACTGAGGACTACGCTTGCGGCTCTTGGGTTTGCTCCTTCTACTGCCGACCCGTCGCTGTTTCTGCGCACCGACACCTCTCTGCCGCCGTTCTACATCCTCGTGTACGTCGACGACTTGGTCTTTGCCACAGCTGACACTGCTGGACTCGCCTACGTGAAGTCCGAGCTGCAGAAGAGACACACATGCACAGACCTGGGTGAACTGCGCAGCTACCTTGGCTTGCAGATCACCCGGGACAGAGCACGCCGCACCATTACCCTGACTCCGTCACACATGGTGCAGCAGGTCCTTCAGCGTTTCGGCTTCACGTACTCCTCGCCTCAGGCCACTCCTCTGCCTACTTGCCACTCGCTCTCAGCTCTGCCTTCGGATGAGTCCGTAGAGTCGAGTGGCCCGTATCCAGAGCTTGTTGGCTGCCTCATGTACCTGATGACATGCACACGACCTGACCTTGCATACCCTCTTAGCATTCTCGCTCGTCTTCTGTTCTTAGCCTTGGTTCCGGCTCTGTTTCGTGGCGGGCTACTCGCTCGTCTTCTGTTCTCGGCTCCAGTTGTGAGGCTGAGATCTACGCAGGAGCCATGGGTGCTCAGGAGCTTCGCTGGCTCACCTACCTGCTGACTGACCTCGGAGAGCCGCCTCGTTCTCCTCCATTGCTGTACGTAGACAACAAGGCCATGCTGGCCTTGTGTCGGGAGCAGTGACTGGAGCACAGAACGAAGCACATTGCTCTCCGCTACTTTCTTGCCCGTGAGCTACAGCAGCGTGGTCAGCTGCGTTTTGCGTACGTGGCCTCTGAGGCCAACACTGCTGATATCTTCACCAAGGCGCTTGCGCCTTGTGATCATCAGCACTTCTGTACTCAGCTGGGTCTTGTGCTTGCCTTGCCTCACTTGCTCACCTCTTGACCTTGTTTGTACTGTTACCTATATATACACCTGATCTTGCTTGTCTAGCCTTTTATATATATGTATGTACTCCTGCATGTGAACTGGCCTTGTGGCCTTGAACTTGTGCTCGGAATGTGTGGTGACTTTGTGATCCACCCTGAGCTTGCTTTGTTTTGCTTGACTGGTTTTGTGACCCCTTGTTCTCCCCCACTTTGACTATGGAAGTGTGTTAGAACATCATAGCTTCTGCACTTTGTATAGGCTGTAGTGGGGTAGCCCATAAGGGGTACAACAACCCAATTAGGGTTAGTACTTGTACCCAACTGTTTCATAGTTCAATCATTCTCATTCCAGTTTTCTCAACTTCGACTCGATTGAAAAGGCAAGCACGAGATCTACAGTTTGGTGAATGTATACCTATATGTATGTCATTTTATAAATGCCGGCGCTTATAATTTTATTCGATTATAAGCCCACCCCCGCAAAAACCTGTTTTATTATTGCCCCCTATGGGAGTAAATCCGGGTATGACGGTAACATTCAAGATCGATTGTCGTGGGACTAGGATTTGGAACGCAATTTTTTTTTTTTTTTTTTAGTGTCACGTGGTATGCAAGAAATCATAGAAATATGAGAGGTAAAATTTGACTTAAACCAGCCAAATCTTTGTCCTGGCTGAAGCTCTCTTGAACCCACCCCCAAACATTTTGACCGCCTAATTGGTAGTGATCCAGCGATAGAAGTTACTAATAACGGCGGTAATATTAACGAGGCGGCTATTAGGCACTCCGCTGCTGTGTTCCTTTTCTCCACTCCCTTTAGGCAGCCAAACTAGCTGGCAGGAGGTCATTTGAGGAGTTAAGGGATGCAAAGGGATCGGGTTTGACCCGATCGACGAATAGCAGCCAGGCGAGTCATTCGCAAAACTGTAGGAGCGAAATCCTGCCCTACTGATCTCCAACTGTTTCGCCTGTGTGGGCTTGCGGCTGCCATTGAGGCTCCAGCTTGCTCCTACAGTTTGGTGGCTTTGCAGGGGAAATGGGTGGTGGGAATCAAATCGACGTAGTGGTTGTGAATGGAAGCAATAGCCGACGCAATGGGATGCGGTTCGGAGTCTGTACGCTGTGCAAACGCATTTTGACAGATAGCTTGAGCACGTTAATGGCTTGCCTTTCTGTAGAGAACAGATATCGTGTGGTCACTGACTTACCCAGGGACGCCCAGATCCATTAGTTTAGGAAAATTCACGGAGCCTAAGGGACTGTCTCCCTCCGTTTCAGTACCCGTCTCCTTTCACCACGTTATTGAAAGCCGAGTCACGGCGATGACCACAATAGTAGTAACGACGTTACAGTATCGAGGGAGGTCGGATGATGCAATCTGCTCACTAGCTCTATCGACCACAAGTCGTCCATCCTACGGCGAGAATTCAATCCGAGCCACGTAACTTCCGCGCTCATCCAAACCCATGGCGAGCCAATCGCGTTCACCAGTGCTAGGCGAGGGGGCGAATGTGCTCATGAAAGGGCTGGGGTAGCGTAACTTCCGCGCTCATCCAAACCCATGGCGAGCCAATCGCGTTCACCAGTGCTAGGCGAGGGGGCGAATGTGCTCATGAAAGGGCTGGGGTAGCGCAGAATGCGGTGCAGTACTCCCACAGAACAGCATGACCTTGCGCAAATTACAGAGCAGGTGCGAGCAGTGCATGGGGACGCCCTACCCGACCGAGGCCGGTACATTGCTCTTGCGCTTATTCAGTGAGCTCGCTCATCAGAGCGGAATGGTGTACAGAGGAAAAATGACGTCAGAGATGACGTTCACACGGAAAATTTAGCGCCTGCGAAATCGTTCATTGGCCATTTTTCGCATCCCCGCATTGGCGGCTGCGTCCTTGAGCTTGGCTAGGAAGGCTGGTCGAACCGACTGGCTCGTTGTGAGATACGATAAGATCCTCTATTCGGGCCCATGGCGAGGTTAAGTGAGGCGCTACAGTGCGCCAGGCTCTGCCATGCCAGGGTGCCTTTATTGCTAATCACTGGTGCTTGACTTCCGCTCTATTGCATCCCATCGCGCCGAGAGCGAGTGAGACCAAGACGCCGGGTGTCACAGGGGTGCCGATGGCCATAAAGCTGCGGTTCTCAACCCAACCGTCAGTTTGTATCCGTTCTACCCTCTTTCAAGCGTTCAAGTGTCACTTGAGTTCCTTCCCGCCCTATTTTCCACCTTCCTCCGAGCGCGCATCTAAAAAATGGCGACAAGCAAGCTCATCCTACCAAGCCTCGACGTACCCTCCCGGCTATCGCAGGCTGTGCTCGCCACGTGTCATACGGATCAGGTTCCTTTCTCTCGCCGCGTGAACGACAGCCACGCGGATCTCGATCTGCTCGCGCTGGAAGGCCGGCTCTCGCTGCTCGACGCGCAGCGCGAACTCAATGCGATCCGCTGCGAACAGTTTGTTACCATGTTACAGTCGTTTGTGAGCGAGGGGGAGAGCCGCGGCGATGAGTTGGGAGATGACTGGGAATCGGGGAGAGGAAGGAGAATGTCGTCTCGTTACGGTCACAGCAACGCAGCGGGAGTGGGGCGGGACGAGATCCCTCGCGCGCATTCAGCGCCGGCGGAGATCGACGGCCAGAGAGTGCCGCGCAGCCACCGTCGCAGCAGCAGCCACAGCGGTCGCAGCGCCAGGAGGCAAGCGATGGCCGCGAGCCGCCTGACGCGGTGGGCCTCGTGCGAGCAGCGCTTGAATGGTGGCGACGACGAGTGGTAAAGCCGCCTGCGCTGCCCGTGCCTTCCGATCGGTAACCCCCCCGCGCGACGCCGCAGCGCGCGCATCTGTACATACTCGCTCCGTCCGCCGACACCCTGGAAGCGCACAGCCGATGCGTGTGCTGTGCTCCATTCATTCGGTCTCCCCGCACTCGATCATGACTCGGGCAGAGCCTTTTCTAGAAACGGGTCATCCAACCCGATATTATCTCTGGGTACGCTACCTAGAGTATGGCCACGGCGGATTCTGTAGATCCTTGTAGAATGATTCAATTTATTGAGACATCTCACACATTCATTTTGGGGGCCACCTCAGCTTTTAGGTACGGTAGTCAAGTATCCAAAGACGCTGGGTTGAAGCCATGGCTGAATTCCTGTTGTGCTTTCATGACCTGAACCATGACATGATGCCACTTTGATGCAGCCGTCTGAAAACCGCTTACATTCTCCATGCATGTTGCAACTGCACATTCATAAGGCTCTGAACAAGTATCCCAGTAGGTCATCTGCTGTAAAACAATGAACACGCCGTGCACTCATGGAACTGAGGCGGTGATGCAGGTGAACATATTATAAACCGTATATGCTATCTTCCTCCTTCATTAATCTCCCCACTCAATAAGCTTGTCGCATTGAGGTATATCCTACAGCCACCCACACAGCCTTTCCTCCACCACCCTGCCGTGGCTCAGCAGCGCCGCCCCGGCCCCGCCCACTAAAACCCCCCTGCTCGTTTGAACGAGATGCGTAGGAGGCAGCTTAAAAGGGCACAAGCCAGCAAGTTGCTTGGAAGGCAGGCAGCGTCAGGGGGGAGCAGTGAGCAGGCAACATCAGTGGTGTGTAGTGAGCAAGCGCACGTGCGCCTCCCTGACAGCGCTCTGCACCTGCGCCGGCAGGCGGTGCAGGCAGGCAGTGCGGAGCATGGCGGGGTACCACGGTGCCAGGCTGCTCACCGCCTCCCCCACCATCTCCCACTGCCCCGCCGCCCATGCCGCCCGCACCACCACCTCCCCTGCCGCCCACGGCGCCACTGGGCTCTCAGTGGTCCAATCCGGGGTGGCAGCAGCCGTGCCAGTGGTGGCGCTGCTGCTCCTGCCTCTGCTACTGCTGCCATCACTGCAGTCAACCGCACAGAAACCGGGGTCCCTGCTGACTGGGTCATGCCAGGTGGCGCGCAGGCGTGCTGCCACGTAGCAGAGGGCGCTGTGGTGCAGGGCGGGCAGCATCCACTGGTGAGCGAGCGATGCGAGGTGCACTGCGGAGAGCAGACGAGTGGAGAGCGAGAGTGGGGGCAGGCGCAGAGAGGAGAGTGGCACAGGAGCGCTGTGATGCCGGCTGGGGCTCGCAGCAGCAGTGGTGGGCGTTGGGTGGCTCATGTTGGTGGGCGTGCGGGTGGCATGGGGAGGGAGGGGCAGGGGGAGGAAGGAGACGCGGGCGGAGTAGAGGAAGCGCAGGAGAGCGATGAGCGCTGGTAGGGGCAGTGGTGGCAGCTGCACGTCGTGCTGCGAGCTGCACAGTAGGCACAGCGCACAGTAGGCACAGCGCACAGTAGGCACAGCGCACAGTAGGCACAGCGCACAGTAGGCACAGCGCACAGTAGGCACAGCGCACGCAGAAAGAAGGGGAAGGGGAGATCAAGCAACTAAAATCAAATGAGTAACAGCAAATTGATAAATGGCGCTCTAAGAGGGCAGACGGACTCGTGCACAGAGAGCACCATTCCAGCCCGCTCAGCCTTCCCAATGTTCATCCCCCTCACTCCCTTCAAGCGCCTCCCCTTATACCCCCCTCTCCCCCCTTTCATATACCCCAATCTCCCTCCCCCCAGTCCTCCCAATTCCCAACCCCCCCCTCGCACAACCCCCCCCTCGCACAACCCCCCCCTCGCACAACCCCCCCCCCACCTTTCACGCATGCCGCAGTGCAGCAGGGCGTGCAGGTACTGGCTGCGCGCGCCCAGCACACAGCGGTGCGCCGCCACCCGCACACACCGCCACACGCCCCCCTGCCCGCCACCCCCCTCGCCGCTGCCCTCCCCATCTGGCCCTCCGCACGCCTCATGCTGCGCCTCTTCCCCACGGCTGCTGGCGCTTGCAGGTGGTTCGTGCGTGGGGGAGAGGGGAGCGTGGCGCGTGCACGGCACACACAGCACAATGTCACTGTGGGGATAGGGGCATGCGTGGGGGGGGGCACATAGGGAGGCAGGGGAGAGACGAGGTGGTGAGATGAGATGGTGAGGCACGGTGGTGGGGACTCATGAAGTGATGACGAATGATTAGGTTGGGAGGGTTGATAGACAGACGAAAGGGACAACGACTAACAGTACGAACTGCCATGCCCCATGCTGCCATGCCCCATGCTGCCATGCCCCATGCTGCCATGCCACATGCTGCCATGCCCCATGCTGCCATGCCACATGCTGCCATGCCCCATGCTGCCATGCCCCATGCTGCAATGCCCCATGCTGCCATGCCACATGCTGCCATGCCCATGCTGCCATGCCCCATGCTGCCATGCCCCATGCTGCCATGCCCCATGCTGCCATGCCCCATGCTGCCATGCCCCATGCTGCCATGCCCCATGCTGCCATGCCTCACGATGCCATGACTGCCGTGCCTCACCTCCAAGGCAGCCCAGCTGGACCAAGTGCTGACGTCAGATCACACCCCATCGCATCATCCCTGCCCCAGATCGGCCAATCACAGCGAAGGAGTGCAACGAGCCCATCCAATTGGCACTTCTTAGCCAGCTGCAGCAGATCCTTGGACGGCCATTGAGAGAGCGACACCTGTCCTGTGTAAATATACTCCAAGAGCTGACTGAACGTCTCACCACTCACACCCCTCCCCATGCGCACCTCTCTCACCACCCCCTCCTCTCCCTCTGCCCGGACTCCTCCCCTGGCTGCCAGCGCCTGCCCACTCGGCCCCCCATCCTTTTCCTGCACGGGAAGAACGCGGGTGCTATGGGGGGGGGCAGATGGGGAGGGGCGAGCAGGTGCAGAGGGGGCATTGAGGGGCGAGAGGAGGGCGGGGCAGCGGGCACCAATGATTGCCGCATGTGCCACCACTCGCAGTGGGGAGGCGACAGCAGTAGAAGTGGGTGCCGAGGGGTGCGTGAGCACGAACGCCACGAGGGCTTTGGGGCTTGCAGGGGAGGGCGTGAGCGGGGTGAAGTGAGTGTGTGAAGCGGCGTGGGGGGAAGAGGGCGGGGAGGAGGAAGGGGGGAGGCACGTGAGAGCAGAGCGGATGTCACGGGCCACAGCAGTTGGCACTCCCAGGGCGGGTGGCTCACTGTGTGTGGCAGGCGGCTGGAGAGATGGAGGATGATGAGAGGGCTGCTGCTGAGAGGGCTGCTGCTGAGAGGGCTGCTGCTGAGAGGGCTGTTTGGCAGCAGCAGACAGTGCAGCGGAGGGTGGGGGGGGGCGGGGCAGCGAGCGGCAGAGAGAGAGGCATCGGGCAGCGAGGCAGCGCAGACCGGCAGGCGATGCGGGATGGAGGAGACGAGTGAGGGCGGGGATGAGGTTCTCAGGGAGGAGCGCGCAGGGGGGGGTGAGTGCCAGTGGCTCTAATGCCACTGCCGTGGGGTGCGATGGTAACGGCTGTGCGCGGTGCAGGAGGGTGACAAGAGCTGTAAGGCCAGAGAACAGGATGATGTCAGCACCTTGCCATGCTGTGATGTCAGCACAGTATGGCGCATGTGGTATGTGCGGCCTCTCATGAGCCAGCAGCATGGTGTCAGCACCCATGTCCCCATTGGCGTCGCTGCCTCCCCCGCCCCCCATCACTCCCACCACCACCTCGTCCTCCCCTCCCTCCAGCTCCCCCTCCCCCCACCACGCCTCATTCCCCTCATCCCACCCCCACTCATCCTCCCCATTACCTTCCTCTCGCGCTCTGCCTGCCCACCCCTCACCTTCCCCCGACCTTCCTCCAGCCTCGCCCTTCCTCCCATCATCACCAAACCCCCCCACCTCCCCTCTGCCCCCCTCCCGCTGCCCCTCCCCCTGCCCTTCGCCCCCCTTGGTCCACAGGGCCACGCGTGCAACCACCACGAGTCCCACGGCCTGCAAGCCCCCCTCCGCCCGCACTGCCTCCCCTCCCCGCCCATTACACGCCACCACTGCCACCACCAGCAGCTTCATCGCAGCTTCCACCTCCTGTACTGGCATGTCAGCGGTGAGAAATGGTGCAGAGGAGTGACGAGGGGCGGAGCGCGAGCAGAGGCGGCACGCCAGGGAGGCCTGGCGTACAGCAGCCGCTGCCAGGCCACTCACACTAGGCTCATGGCCGCCCTCCCATGCCCTGCCCTCTGCCCTGCACCCGCCACTGCTGCTACTGCTGCTGCCGTCACCATGTGCCTCCCCTGCAGCGCTGCTGTGGTCACGGAGAACACTGGGTGCTGCCCTGCTTGCTGCCCGCTCACCACCCTCTCTCCCACCCTCTCTCCCACCCTCTCTCCCACCCTCTCTCCCACCCTCTCTCCCACCCCCTCCTGTGCCCCGTGCCTCATACGAGGTGGCAGGGCGGGTGTTGGCTGCTGTGAGTGCTTGAGAGAGGGCGGTGCGGGAGAGGGAGGCGAGGGCGGGGCAGGGCGAGGAGAGCAGGGCGAGCAGCGCACCGAGCAGGGCGTGAGCCGTGGGCGGGTGCAGGGGGGTGGTGGGTGCGGGCGAGGGTGCGGTGGAGACAGCAGTGGGGTGAGGTGTGGCGTGGGAGGAGGGAGCGAGCAGTGCGACCTAGGTGAGCGCTGCATGTGGGCAGAACGTTGAGGGGGTTTGGGGGGGAGAGGGGCAATCGAAGGTTAAAGCTAGTAGCAGGCTGTGGGGGAGACAGATGAGAGAGATGGACAAGAGGTGCTAAAAAAGAGTGATGGCAAGTGCAGTGCTGCTGGGCCAAAAAGGTTGCAGAGGTGGACGATAGAATAGGCAAACAGCATCCTCATTTGGCCTCACGAGCAGGAGCACGCGCGGCAGAGGCTACGGGTCCACTCACACCCGCACTGCACTCAGCAGCTCACTTTCCACAAAAACCTCACTCTTTGGTAATGCCCTTCGCCGCTCACCATGCCAGCGCTGCCACCGCCTCCATGCCTGCATGCCCAACTGCTCCCCCCCCCCACCCTCCCCTCTCCTCGCCCCCCACCGCCACCACTGCCCGCCCCTCCCTTGTTCTCTTCGCTCTCGCCTGCCTTCCCACATGCCCTGCCTCCTGCCTCCTTCGCCTTCACTAGAGTCACACCCCCCTCTGAGTCACACACTGCCACGTGGCAGAATGCTGCCATCCACCTCACTGCCTCCCACGCTGCTGCCATGACGACTTGCGACCCTCCCACCTGCTCCTCCCCCCCACCCGCCCTGCCGTCACCCCCCCTGAATACCCATCTGCTCTTCGCTGCTGCCCTCTGCACGTCCTGACTGTTCATACAACCTGCCGCCCAGCAGTGCACGCGTCAGCACAGATGCAGACAAGCCTGCTGCCCACAGTACAGCCGGGTCATGATGGCCACCCGGCCAGCGCAGGAGGCTCGCTGCGGTCTGCCAGGCAGATGCTGCCACATGGCTGGCTGCTGAGTCATCGCGTGCTGAGCTGGCAGGCAAGGAGGCGGATGAGATGAGGCGGAGGGAGGGCGGGTGGGGGCAGTGGCAGCGGGTCAGGGGGAGGGGTGTGTGGGCTGCTTGCAGGGCAAAGGTGAGGAGGGGGGTGAGGGGCGATGCTGCAGTGGTGGTGGCGGGCCAAGTGCAACGCGTGGCAGCAGCAAACGATGGGTGGCTCTGCACACATGTGATGTGATGGGGTATGAAGAGGAATCAGGGGGTAAGGGTGAGGGACAGAGAGACGGAGCGGGTTGCCATGTAATCTTACCCCTTATACTTGCATGACTGAATCTCTCACAAAACACCAAGGAGCGTTTGAGGGAAAAGGGGTGGGGCGGGAGCAGCATGCATCCATGGGACAAATGCTGGATGGCCCCGACAGCAAGGCTGAGTCCCGAGGGGCGTGCATGGCAAAGGAAGGTGCATGGAAGGAAGGATTGTACAGCGAGCGCTTGCAGAAGCGAGAGGGCGGCTTGACGGCAGGCGGGACAGGTGATGAGGCAGGAGGTGGAGGAGGAATGTGAGGAGGGAACGGGTGAGAGGTGGCGGGTGAGAGAAGGGAGGAGGCGGAAGGTCGGGTGCAGCAGCAGGTGGCACATGGAGGGGTCCTGCGCTGTGAGGAAAGGGGGGTGGTGTGGTGCAGAGAGATTATGAGTTGAGTAGAGATCATGGTGGTACTCGACAAATAAGACATTTGCTCAATCATGCCTACATGCACATGGGGTGCACCCACGTCAATCCATTTCACCTAGAAACAAATACAGACAGCATAAGAATAGAAAGCAGACGCATGGCCCACTCACCCATGGCATTGAGAAGGCTCAACGCTGCTTCCGAAACAGCAGCAGCAGAACCATCCATGTGTGCCCCATGCGGCAGCGGCAGGGCCATGACCACCAGCTGCGCCATGCGCCCCCTGCCACCTGACAGCTGTGCCGGCCTGCGCAGCACCTCCCTTCTCACCTCCCTGCCACCTGCCGGGCAGCGCTGCACCAGCAGCAGAAGCACGTGCAGCACTGCTGCCACCGCTGCTGCCTGCCTGCCCTGCCACGGGGCAATAGGCTCGTCGCCATTACTGCTGCTGTTGCTGCTGCCTTGGCTGGTGATATCTGTGTGTGCGCTACTGCACGCGCTGCTCTGCGCCCTTGACCCTCCATCCGCTCCTGCCAGACCCCCACACGCCTCCTTACCACACGAAGCAGCACTGGTGTGAGCATGCATCTCTCCCCCGCCCATGCCACCTTCCCTTTCCCCCGCACCCATCACCGCTTCCCCTCCCACAACCCTCGCATCCCCCGCACCTGTTGCCCCCCACAGCCACTCAGCAGCCCGCGCCACCACGCCTCCCCTACTCTTCCCTCCACCATCCCTGCCCTTGCTGCCTTTGCTGCCCATGCAACCCGTGCTACCCGTGCTGGCCTGCGTGCCATGACTGCGGAGAGCAGGTGCGGAGCGTGACAGGTGGAGGCGCCACAGCGCGGCGAGCAAGGGGGCGGTGAGGGTGGCGAGCGGCGGGACGAGGGGCGAGGTGGACGAGGGGGGAGAAGGGAGCACAGTGGGAGGGGGTGCGAGGAGGGAAGGGGGGAGGGCGGGAATGGGGGCGTGGCGGAGTGGGCGGGAGAGGGGGTGTGGAGGCAGGGCGAGGAGGGAGGCAGCGAGGGCAGTGCAGGCGTCCAGCACCACGTGGTCGCCTGGTGCAGACAGAGAGAGCAGGTGGGGTGCAGGCGCAAAGGGCACACGCAGCACACACACGGGGCACCCAGGGTAGGGCGGCGCAGACAAGGAGGGCAGGAGAGGGCGCAGGGCATGTTGAGTTGAGTTGAAGGATGTGAGCAGGCGGTGGGGAAGCAGGGGGCTTCACACGGGGCGGCGTACGGGGCAGGGCAGTAAGGAACAGAGAGAGAGGGCTTCAAGGGGCTGTGCCGGCGGGGCGGGGTGCTTGAAACACAGCACAGCAGTGGCGGCAAGGGACAGCACGCAGAGCAGAGCAGCGAGGGAGCACAGCACATGCATTTCTGTGTGCACAGCAGAGCAGAGCAGAGCACACGCACGGTGCATGACAGCACAAGCAGAGCGCAGCCAGGTGTGCCCTGCAGCACCGCAGCACCACAACCACCACCTCTCCACCCACCCACCCATCACCCCACCCGCAACACCCTTGCCGCGTGGATTGCCTCACCCATGCTCTAATCCACGTGGCACCTCCCACACCCCTACACCCCCCACAACTCGCACACCCCCACATCCCCCACACCCCCCACCACTACCACACCCCCCACAACCCCCACACCTCCCACACCCCCCACACACCCCACACCCCTCACCCCTCCCACACCCCCCACCCCTCCCACACCTCCCACACCGTGTGCCAGGCGGCCCAACCTCCCGACACTGGCCTCACCGGGGGCATCAACATAGGCGGAGAGGCCGAGCAGCATGGCGCCCGTGACACTCTCCCGCCACCACCGCCCCCCCACAGTGGCCATGCGCGCACACACGCGCACCGCTGCCTGCCGCACCGACGCCAGCGCTGGTGGCGCGCTGAACGCCAGCAGGTGCAGCAGCGCCGCACACGATGCCTCATAGTGTGCCTGGTGGGGCGGGGGGGGGAGAGGGGGGGATTGGCGGGAAGGGTGGGGGATGGGGAGGAGGGGAGGAAGGGAGCATGTGGGAACGAGAGGTGGGGAGGGCGCAGTTGGGCATGGTGAGCCAGACGTAGATACGACAAACAGGGGCACCCCAGCATTTTCCGCCAGCACTCTCTGCTCATGACCCGCCAATCAACGGCATGCCAGCAGCCCAGCTCTCACCCTCACTGCCGCCCCTCTCACCCTCACTGCCGCCCCTCTCACCCTCACTGCCCGCCTGCACGCCACGTCACTCCAGAGAGGCATCTCATTGGCCGCCACGAAGTCGAGCAATCGCTGCACGCCACGTAGCAGCTGATTGTGCAAGGCAGGGTCTTGGGACGCCCACTGCCACTGCCACGTGTCCTGCCAAGGGGCTGCTCCCTGCCACGTGGCAGCAGCACAGCTGCCATTAGTGGCAGGACGTGCAGTCGTGGAGGTTGGCGGAAAAGAACCTGCTGGCATGCACCATGCACCATGCCATCATGTCATGCCATGCATCATCAATCGAGCAACATGCCTTACAGCATGCACCCATACACCATGCCATGTCATGCATTCAGAAGCGACGCGTGATGGGATGAGTGTGATGCTGCACAAGGAGGTCCAGCAACTGAAGAGAGTGGGTAGAGGGGAGACTGGAGGGGTGGGGCGAGAGGGGGGAGCAGAGAGAGAGGCGGCTGCCAGCGTCAAGCAGCAAAGCGGCCACGCCTCGCGCTCCCCACGCATTCCCGCGACTCCCCTTCGCCATCCTTCCTCTGACTACTCGCTACCCCCGCCGGGGCGAGGAAGCGCGAGGTGAGGCGGGGCGAGGCCAGGGGGAAGGGGAAGCGGGGCGGAGGCGGCACCTTTCCAGGCGACGGCGAGGGCGGCGGCGAGCGGCTTCTGCGCCTCGTCCAGCGACCGCTGCAGCTGCTGCCGCCGCGCCTCCCGCTCGCGCGACTCCCGCTCGCGCGCGCTTTCGCGGCTTGGCTTCGCGCCGCCGCCTTCGCCGCGCTGCGATCCGCCTGGCGGCGCTAGGCGCACTCGAGCGCCACGCGCCGCATCCATGGCGGCCGCATGTACCGCAGCGTCGCGTGTGGCTCGTTCGCAGCGTTGCTTGTTCGCTTCGACAACTTATCCGCAGTACGCGTTCACCCTGGTACACGAGCCGTAGAGTAAAAGCGAAACAATCTACTGCATCCATGAGAGGCGTGCAATTTATGGTACAAATGTAATTGCTGTGCTTCAAATCACACAAATATCAATCATATGCATGCGATGGAACACAAACACACACTGCACTGCGTATCCGGCCTTCTTATAACGAGCCTTCGTGCTCAAAACGAGGCTTCGATTTAGGGGCGACCTCTCCTCTGCCCCTGTTCCATTGCCACTACGCAGCCAATCATCCGCTACGTGTGTACCGTACCGCGCTCTCTGCTCCCGCGCTCTTTCTCGCCGCGACGTCACTGCCTCCGCTCACCACGGTCAGGTCAGTTCGCCATCCGTCACTCCCGCGCTCTCCGGATATACCTCCATCCATCCATCGCTCTCCGGATATACCTCCATCCATCCATCGCTCTCCGGATATACCTCCATCCATCCATCGCTCTCCGGATATACCTCCATCCATCCATCGCTCTCCGGATATACCTCCATCCATCCATCGCGTCCGCCTTCGCGCCCGTTCCCTCGCGTCTCGACTCCTCGCAGCGGCGCCCACCGCCGTGACTGTTGAGTCGACTTTGGAAGTCACCTGCGCTCATCGCTCACCTCCGTGCGCCTGCATTGGCGCGCCATGAGCGGCGGCGTCGCGGGCGCGCACAGTCCGCTGCCAGCTGTCGCGTGGCAACCGCACCTCCTCAGCGCGAGCGCTGCGCGTGCGGGCGGACGGCTGGGGTGGCGTCAGTGGTGCGACCGTGAGTCGGGGTGTCTGCGGCTGAGCGACGCGGGCGACTCCCGACGAAAGCATTGCGACTCGCCGCGGCGACTGCGACGGTCGCACAGCCAGCAACGATCGCATGCACGGTGTGAGGTAGTCGCACAGTCGGTCTGCAGCTGCCCCGTCGCCCTCGCTCGCGTTCCACTGCTGTCACTGGCCTTGCGCAATGCCCGCCTCGCACGTATGCTTCCTCGGGCGCATGCTACCCCGAGCGCATGCTTCCGCAGCGCCCGTCTGAAGCGGCAGCACCTGCGGCCATGGCCCTCCTCGGCCTCCTGTCCCCCTCCCTCGTCGCCGCCGCATTTCCTCCCGTTTCCTGCAATGCCCCTCTCATTCCCTTCCTCCCTCTCCCACCTCCGTCCCAAAGCCTCCTCCCATTCCCCTCCCATTCCCCTACTCGTCGCCTCCGCCTCCGCCCCCCTCGCCCCCTCCCGCCCCAGGCGGCGGCGCCCGCGAAGATAGAGATCCGCGGGTTGACGCGGAGGGCGGCGAGCACGGGCGCGCTGATCCTGGACGGCGTGGCGCTGCGCGTGGCGCGCGGGCAGCTGTTCGGGCTGATAGGGCCGTCGGGCAGCGGCAAGTCCACGCTGCTGCGCGCCATCAACCGCCTGTGGGAGCCCACACGTGGCACCGTGTGGGTGGACGGCTGTGACGTCACCACCATGGACGTGCAGCAGCTGCGGCGCCGCGTGGGCATGGTGTTCCAGAGCCCGCACCTCTTCCCTGGTAGGCCCTCCCCGCACCCCAGCTCTGCTTGCTCCGCTACCCATCCCTCCCAACCCCTCCCGACCCCTCCCGACCTCATGTTCCCCATCTCGCCTTCCCTTCCTCTCCTCTCCAAGTGCCCTCGCCCCAACTGCTCGCCCTCGCATCGCACCCACATGCGCACTCTTTCTCTCGCACCACACCCGGTTCGTCTCTGTTGTTCAACGAGCATCCATTGCCCTCTGCGCCAACATTCCCCCGCCCCAATTCCTGGCCTGCTTACCCTCTTTACCCCGTGCTCGGTACTTGGCAGCTGCGCTCGCCCCATTTGCTCGTCCACTCTTCGTGCGTGTTGCTGCTTCATTGCTCAGCCCTCGCATGCATGTGTGTCGTGCCCCTCATGTCATGCTCGCCTGTCCCACACCTGCCTCTGTCTCATGCCTCTTCTCAGCTCCACGCCACCATCAGTCGTTCATCTGGGCCTCCACACAACCCACCCTCTCACCTTCTTCCCACCCCCTCATCACACCCATACCTCCCTCCCTCTCCCCCTCAACCCCCCAGGCACGGTGGCGGACAACGTGAGGTACGGGCCGGGGCTGCAGGGAGTGGCGGTTGGGGTGGAGGAGCAGCAGAGCCTGCTGCTGCGCGCCGGGCTCGACCCCTCCTCCGACTTCCTGCACCGCGCCGCCCACGAGCTGTCGGGCGGCGAGGCGCAGCGCGTGTCCATCGCACGCGCCCTCGCCAACTCGCCCCAGGTGCTGCTTCTGCTGGATTCTTACCCACGAGCTCGCTGGACCCTCTGTTGTTGCAAGCAGCACGTTTTGTTGTGAGAATTCTTAAAAATCACCTCCATCGTGCACCCCCGCCGTCTCGCCAACTGCCACCCAGGTGTTACTGCTGGACGAGCCCACGAGCTCACTGGACCCCACGGCCACGCGCAAGGTGGAGGAGACGATAGAGCGGCTGCGGCGAGAGGAGGGGCTGACAGTGGTGTTGGTGTCGCACAGCATGCCGCAGATCGAACGCGTGGCTGATGTCACCGCGCTGCTCAGTCAGGGCCACGTGGTGGAGGTGGGGCCGCCGGGGGAGCTCAGGGAGAGTGATAATCCGGACGTTGCTAGCTTTTTCACTGGGGAGCTCAGCTGACCTGCCCGTGTGTGTGGTGCCGTGGATGCTGAGTGTACAAGGGAAGGGTTGTCGCCGTAGTCTATGTTCAGTTTGTATGCAACGCAAAGTTGCAAATCAGTTTTGCATGCAATGCGAGATCAGGGTTGGTAGTGGAGCGCACAGCCTGAAAGCAGCCATGCCTTCAGCACAGGAATGGGGATGGCGACTTCGACGGTGCAGATGCTGAGGCATGCAATGATTGTATTCGAACTGAGTGTGCCTGTTTCTCCCAACTCTAGGTTTGCGGAGAATTGAGCAAAAGAAAGTCGTCTCAAAGAATGGAATAATATTCAAAACATTACTTCAAGAATAATGAAAATCGATATACAGGCCACAGCCAATCTCAGCATTCTCAACATCGATGCTAGAAAAAATGCCTGTCAAAAAACGCCTAGCGCGGCGGACGGAGCGAGTTATGTACAGCTGCACGCACTGGCGCGTCGCGAGGGGAGACAGGATCGGAAAGCGCAGCGCAGGCGGCTTCACCACTGGTCGTCGCCGCCGTTCCAGCGCTGCTCGCACGACGCCCACCGCGTCAGGCGGTTAGCGGCCAGTACTTGTCTCCTGGCGCTGCGACCGTTATTGCTGCTGCTGCGGCGGTGGCTGCGCGGCACTCTCTGGTCGCCCGTTTCCAGCGGCGCTGAATGCGCGCGAGGGATGATGTCGCCCCGCGCCGCTGCCGCTGCTTGGATGTGACTGTAGCGAGTCCCCATTCTCCTTCCCCTGCCCGACTCCCAGTCATCTCTCAACTCGTCGCCGCAGCTCTCTCCCTCGCTCAGAAACGACTGTAACATGGTAACAAACTGTTCGCAGCGGATCGCGTTGAGTTCGCGCTGCGCGTCGAGCAGCGAGAGCCGGCCTTCCAGCGCGAGCAGATCGAGATCCGCGTGACTATCGCGCTCGCGTCGCGAGAAAGGAACCTGGTCCGCGTGACACGTGGCGAGCACAGCCGGCGATTGCCGGGAGGAGACATCAAGGGTCGGTCGGATGAGCTTGGTGGTCGCCATGATACGCGACCTCAAAAGCGAATTCAATATGCGTGTTTCAACCAGCTGCAAGCACCGAGCGCGTTGGTGCCTGTAGTAGGCGTCGGAAGAAACTTGAGTGGCGCTCAAGCAGTTGGAGGGTAGAACGGAGAAGCTGAACATTGCGTTGAAGCTGGCAGCTTTATCCCCATCGGCACCGCCGTGGGATTCGGCGTCTCAGACTCACTCGCTTGGGATGGGAGGGATACAGTAGAGCGGAAGTCAAGCATCGAAGGTACAGTGGTACCCTGACATTGCACAGCCTGGTGCACTGTTGCGCCTCAATTCACCTCGGTATTCGCCCGCTGTGAGAATCTTAGATCGCACATCGAGCCTGTCGGTTCGACTGGCCTTCCTAGCCAAGCCCAAGGGAGCAGCCACCAATGCGGTGCGACGATGGGCCAATGAGAAATTTCGCAGGCCTTGGATCCTCCGCGTGAACGTCATCCTTGACGTCATCTGTCTGTGTGCACCATTACGCTCTTAAATGCCGGTGAGCGAATTGAAATGAACACAAGGGCGAAGTACCGGCCTCGGTCGGGTAAGGCGTCTCCATACACTGCTCGCACTTGCTCTGTAATCCGCGTAGGGTCATGCTGTACTGTGACATTACTACAGCGCATTCTGCGCTCCCCGGCCGTTACTGAGCACATTCGCCCCCTCGCCTAGCACTGGTGAACGCGGTAGGCGCGGTATGGGCTTGGATGAGGCTGAAGAGGGGCGGAGGGAGTTGTGTGGCTCGGAGCGAATTCACGCCGTGGGGTGTGGAGTGGACGCCTTGTGGTCGATGGTGCGAATGAGCATATCACATCCGATCTCGCTCGATACGTCGACTTGAGTTACATAATGGGGTGAAAGGAGTCGGCCTTGGCTTTCTGAAAGGGTACTGAGCGTGAAAGGAGACGGTCGTTGAGGTTCCGTGAAGAAATGTCCTCCTAGACTATCGTCAGACCTGAGCGTCGCTGGGCAAGTCAGTAACCACACGTTTATCTTCCCTTGTTCAAAGTGAAGCACACACAAAAAATAACTGGAGCCTCGTGCAATAGTTCACCTGCTAAAGATTTCGGACAAAATGCATCTGCACAGCGAGGAAACAAGTTCACCGCAAAGATTCCGCACCCCATTGCATCGGCTATTCCTCCTTCCATCCACGGATCGACCCATGCATTTCCCTTTCGGGGACATGAAGCTCCAGTTACGAGAGCAAGCTGGAGCCTCAAGCCAATTCAGACGAAACAGTTTCCGCTCAGGCGGGCAGCATTTCCTTCCAACAGTTTATCCAAGCCCAAGTGATTTCCATGGCTGCAATTCGTCGATCTGGTCAAACCAAATCTAATCGCTTTGCACCCGTCAAAGCCTCAAGTGACCTCGTGCCAGTCTGCCGTAGGGAAGAGCAGGAAGAAGGCAATCGAGCATTGGGTTGGGGGGGAGGGGAATGAGTTTACCCTTATAAGCTGCCTCGTTAACACGGGCAGTCCCTACAAACCAAAACACATATAGAAATCGAATGATAGTATCTCTTTCTATCACTGATAACCAGGAAAGGTTAAAGCTCTTGGAAGCAAGTAACTTAACGCTTCTGATGTGTCGGAACATCGAACTGTAAACGAAGCAAATAGCAACGAAGCAACGACGAGTCAACCATCGGAGGTTGACAAACTGCTGGAGGTTACGCGAAGGTCAAAGGTCAGCAACAGTTGACTCGACAAATACAGCGCGACTGCAAGGACAAACAAATGACTCGATACTGAGCAACAGCAACAGCAAAACAGTTATTAGTTGCACCCTTTCATATTCCTTGTAATCTTATAAAAGGCTTGT